TTAATGCACTGAACATTTATTTGCCTATTATTGTCAGTGTAAACAGTGGTGTTGAGGTTGAGCGTGCTCTGTTCTTCTCTCTCTCAGACCCCAGGCCCAGCCCGAACCAGACGACTTCATGAGTGATGATATGGACTCATATCTTATCGCCATGGAGACCAGTGATCTTGCTGGGCCGTCTCATGAGCCTGTCACGGCATCTTGTTCTACCAATCACAGGGCACGGTTGCCCAGTGAGGGAGATGACGACGAAGAAGAGGAGGAAGAGTCACTTGACAGACCGCCCAATAAAAAGGTTAAAAAAAAAAAAGGCTAATGAATTATTCGAAGAAAAAAAAAGGCAAATATATCTGACCCGCAAACATTGCTTTTACTTATCAAGCACTCATTTTTTGTTTTCAGTTCTGTTCACTTTTCTTTGGCTCCGTGCTGCCTGTATCCTCCCAGTTGACCAATCAGACGGTGCAGAGCCAGGAAGTGCTCGCAAGCGACAGCGAGGACGAGAGACAGGAGGAATGATCATGACGGCCGGTAGAAATGCACGCGGAAAGGATATGTTACAGTCGCAAGAAAAGAGGGAAGGACCATTTACAATAGATAATGGAAAAAGAACGTTTGTATAACGGGGACAGAATCTTCCAAAGCCTCTACAAACAGAGACTTAACCATCTGTGTGGAAATCTAATCTTGCCTTTTTATTGTTCTTTGAAACGTTTGAAACTGCTAATGTTTTTTAAAAGCTGGATCAGTGATGAAACCAACACGTCACCCCCAGATCATTGCACTGAGCTGTCATTAAAGATTTACAGCCACATCTCTGTAATCAAGAGCTTTTTGGTAGCGCTGTGTTTGAGAGTGAAAGATAAAATTTCATTGCGTTCTTCAGTCAGAAGTAACTTTCTGAGTGTGGTGCAGAGTTCCTTTTAGACCTCAGTGTCTGAGAACCACTGCTTCCCTGCCCAGCGTCACTATCGTCACTCTTCTTGCTGAGCACCTGGAAGCTCTTCCCTCTTGTCTGAGGCTTTTTCCTCTCTTTCTCCTTCTCCTTTTCCAGTTCTTTCTCCCTTTTCTTCCTCTCCTTCTCCTCTTCCTTCTCTTTCCGCTCCTTCTCCCTCCGCCGCCGCCTCCTCTCTTTAGAGCTCAGCTTCTCCTCGCCCTCGCTGAAGTCCTGGATGAGGATTTTCGGGACGGGGGATTTGGGAGGTGTCTCGCCTCTGAAGCGCTGGAACAGACCCCTGCGCTTGGGTTTGCCTTGCTGTGGAAGAGTGTGAGTTTTGCTCTGGTGTGTATCTTTCGCTGCAGCTGCTTCTGGTGTCTGCGCTTGCTGCGGGAGGTCTTTTGTAGACGTCACATTGTCTGCCTTTGAAGTTTCTGTGTGTGTGCTGTTGTCCTGCTCATCACTTTGGTGTGGGTCCCTGAAGGTGTCCTCGGAGAGGATTGTGGGATAGGAGGTGTGAGAGCTAGAGGACCTGCGTAGGCGGAGAAGAGGGTGAGGGTTTGAGGATGCAGGTTTTGGAAGGTTTGCTGGGGTTGCTGACTGCGATTGATCTGAAACAGGGTCATTTTGCATTTGCATGTCTCCAGCCACTGTAATGTCAGCTGGCTGCTGAGGTTCAGGGTTGCCAGTTGTGCTAACTTCACAGTGCTCAGGGATGCCGGGTTGGACCTCAGGAACTGTCTTAACCTCCAAGTTTTCCACCTGTGGGGAAGGTTCCACCACCTGAGAAGACTCTGGGGTTCCAGAAGGTTCAAGTTCTGTCTCTTGTTGAACATGTATGAAGGTTGAAGATGATGCTGACACTGTATGTGACGTATCTTCATCTACTGTGTGACCAGCTTCCACGTCTGAGACATTATCTGTCTGAGGAGGACATCCCACCACCTGAGAAGACTCTGCTGTTCCAGAATGGTCCATTTCCACTGTTTGTAACGTCTCTTCGTTCTCTGCTGACTGATGGTTGCTATTTCTGTCCTCATTCTTTCCTTCATCCACTATCTCTTCCTCAGCAATGACTGCTTCCTCACTCGGTTCCTCAGACTCCCCTGGTTTGTCAGTTATCTCTACGTCCTTCTCCGTCTCCTTGGAAAGCTCACTTTCAGCGACCTGCTCTTGCCGAATCTCTTCATCCTCCTTCTTGCTTTCCAGCCCCATCTCTTCCTTTTGAATATCTTCGTCCTGAGTTTGTAAAGGCAGGTTCTCTTGCTCTTCAGACGTTTGTGTCTCCAGGACTTGCTGCCCTGTATTTGCTTCTTCAGCATCTTGATTTTTCTGCTCTTCTTCAGGTGCGTCTAGTTCAAGTGTGAGACATTTTGGGGTTTTTTCTTCCTCATTGCTGCTTGTGGCTTGACAGTCTTCTTGCTTGCTTGTGGTATGCACATCCTCTTCCTGTTCACTGCTGTTTACCTGACTTTCCTTTTCTTGCTCATTGCTTTTCAGCACTTCCTGACCATGGCTGCCCAGCTCTGTCACCTCTTTTAGGTGTACTTCCTCTTCCTGGTTTATGCTATGAATCTCTGTTTCCTCATCTTGTTTACTGCTGTTTAGATGAATTTGCTCTTCCTGTATTTTGTTGTCTATGTCTCTTTCCTCTTCCTGTTTAATGCTGTCCAGATGTATTTTCACATTCTGTTTACAGGTGTCCAGGTGTATTTCCTCTTCTTGTTTACCACTGTCCTGGAGTGTTTCCTCTTCTTGTTTACCACTGTCCAGGTGTGTTCTCTCTTCTTGTTTACCACTGTCCAGGTGTGTTTCCTCATCTTGTTTACCACTGTCCAGGTGTGTTTCCTCTTCTTGTTTACCACTGTCCAGGTGTGTTTCCTCTTCTTGTTTACCACTGTCCAGGTGTGTTTCCTCATCTTGTTTACCACTGTCCAGGTGTGTTTCCTCTTCTTGTTTACCACTGTCCAGGTGTGTTTCCTCTTCTTGTTTACCACTGTCCAGGTGTATTTCCTCTTCTTGTTTACCACTGTCCTGGAGTGTTTCCTCTTCTTGTTTACCACTGTCCTGGAGTGTTTCCTCTTCTTGTTTACCACTGTCCTGGAGTGTTTCCTCTTCTTGTTTACCACTGTCCAGGTGTATTTCCCTCTTGTTTCGTTTTCCCTCTTGTTTCCACTGCGTGTATCTCTCTTGTTTACCACTGTTGTATTTCCTCTTCTTGTTTACCACTGTCCAGGTGTATTTCCTCTTCTTGTTTACCACTGTCCTGGTGTGTTCTCTCTTCTTGTTCACAGCTGTCTATGTGTATTTCCTCTCCTTGTTTACCGCTGCCTAGGTGTATTTCCTCATTCTGTTCTTTTCTATGTATCTCTGTTTCCTTTTCCTGTTCACTGGCATCCTTCTGTATTTCATCCTGCTGTTCATTTATGTTTATCTGTATTTCCTGTTCCTGTTTACATCTATTGACCTCTATTTCCTCTTCTTCTAATTTACCATTTCCCTCAGTTTCTGCTGCCTGCTGAGTGCAGCTCACCTGTGATTCCACATTCAGCCTTATTTCCTTTTCTTGATGACTTCTATTAATGTCAGTTTCCTCTTCTGGTATGTTTCTGTTTTCTTCCATTTCTGCTGCCTGAGGACTGTTCACCTGTAACGCCCCTTCCTGTTCACTGATTTTCACTTCCACTTGATCTTCCTGGTCGCTGCTGTTTATCTGGGTTTCCTCCTTGTGTTGATCTATCGTGATGTGTGTTTCGTCTTCTTGCTGAGAAGTTTGTGGTTCCTCCACCTGTGGTGTTTCGTTTTCCTCTGGATGTGATAGCGCCTCCTTGTCCTGTTTGTTGCTGTCTATCGAGGGTCCTTCTTTTTCTTTGTCTTGCTGTGTCTGTATGCTGTCCTGTGACTGAGGAGTAGCTGTTTGTGTTTCGGTTTCCTCTCGACTCCTTTCTGTTTGTAAATCCTTTTCTGATGCCGTTGGCTGATCATGTCTATCGCAATCCATCACATTTTCTGGTGGGTCATTCTCCTCTTCCTCAAACACAGGCGCACTGTGATCTGACAGTTCAGAGCTGGACCACGTGTCCAGGTTTCCATGCTGTGCAACGTTGTTGCAATCTTTCTTGAACCGCGTGCCAGTCTCGCGTGTCATGCTGTCCGTCTTGAATCTAAACTCTCCAGCCGCACTGCACACACTCCTCCTCCTCTCCTCTCCATCACTGCTCTCCTCTTTTACTCCCTGTGAGAACCTCCTTCCCCCTCCCTCCCACTCCTCCGCGTCCGCTTTACTCCCTCTCTTCCTCCATTTTTTCCGAAGAATCGCAGGAGACAGGGACGAGTGCGAGCGCATCAGGGGCACGGTCAGGTTCCCGCTCTGTCTCTCCTTCTTCTCATTCTCCTTTTCCTTTTCCTTCCATTTCTCCCAGACCATGTGGTATCCGTGGCAGCGATGCCGAGGGTCAAAGGTAGAGCCCGGCCGCTCTTTCCTCCATTTCACTAACTCTTTCTCTGTTCGTCTCTGGAGCTCTCCCAAGGACAGAGGAACAGAACACACCTGAGGCGGAAAATGGAACAAATGTTAGCACTGTCAATCCTGTATATTATACAGCTACCAGTGTTGAAAAGACCCTCTTGCAGGCCAAGACGCTTCTAAATACTGGCGGGCTAAAATATTATATAATATTTACTGCAAATATACATGCTACTTTATATCTAAATCTACAGTGCACTATCAGAAATAAAGGTATGAGCCTGTCACTGAGGCAGTACCCCTCTTCTCACTGGGGTGGGACCCTCAAGGGTACATCTCAGCACCTTTAGTCAGGGAACATAACTGAACCATAATCCACTGAAATGATATGTTCTAAGCTGTACTGACTCCACACACCCCGTCTCGCCTCTAGGCTTTTTATTTTACTGTTCTGTTTTAAAACATTCGGTTATGAAAAGATACAAATATGAACTTTTTCACCTAGAAAAACTTTACATTGTTTGTACCTTGATGAATGAAGAATGTAGCTGCACAGAACCTTTATTTATAACAGTGTACTGTGCAAAAGTCAGAGGCTACCACGCTTCACTTATATCATTTCCTGTCAAAACCACCATTAAGTACAAGTTACTCATTTTTCATAAGACATTTCTGAGCAAATCAGATACAAGATAATTCAATTGCATTAAGAAATGGATAAGTTAAAGGAAAATAAGTGGAATACAGAAGTTTCTAAAACAGGTGTTCAGAAAAATAGTTAAAAGGTGTAGAGAAAATGTCACCATGACAAACTGGTAGACCATTGACCTGTAACCTCAGATAAACAGTAGTTAAAGCTTTATCTCTGAGAGAGAGGAGAAAATCAAGCTGCTTCAGATCTGAAAACATCCACAGGTGTTTCTGTCCATCCTTCCACTGTGAAAAGAACTTCTGGGTCTGAAAGGATGTGTAGCTGTCAAGAAGCCCTCATTTAAAAAAAAATATTTGCAAGTCAAATGAAGCAGCTGGAGTTCTCTAAACAATGGGCTGACCACCCCAGAGCCCAGACCTCAACATCACTGAATGTGTTTTTGAGCAGAAAATGCAACCAACCTCTGAGACTAGACTTTGTAAGTGTGGAAAAATATCCCTGCAGATTTTTTGACAAGCTGAAAGAAGCATCTTGAAATGAATAGAAGCTGTAATAATAAAGACATTTTTAGATAGAATGACAGAATGATAGACAACAATAGAATGTCCAGTTAAATGTCCTCACAGTCCAAAGAAAAACAAGTATCTCCAAAATAGTAACTTTTCAGGAGAGGGCAGAAACCCTCTTACCTTTAATGCAAGTTATTGTAAAGAAATTTTATTCTAAGCAATTTTGGAGCACTTCTATTGGTCCAATCATCATGAAATTTCCACACAGTGTAAAGGACAGCTGCTGAGCTTAAATGATGCAGAAAAGTAAAAATAGCAAAGAATTGAGATACAAGGTTTTCATTGGACTGCCTTTTTTTTCTGATGCTGAAAAATGAATAACTTGTACTTAGTTGCTGTTTCGACTGGTCAGTAAGTTTGGCAGTGCTGTATTTTTTAGGTTGAATTATTGTACTTCACTGAAAGGGTCTCTGTCTCTTATTTTCAGTGTAAGATCAAGCTGCTAAACAAACATTCAACAAAGTTAGCTTAGAACTTTTTTGCTTCCCAAAAGGTGTTAATACTGCTGGTGCACGCTATGTATGTGGCAACTTAACACATAGATGTCCACTTCCCCAGAATGAGATTAAGTCCGTAGATTACAGTTTATGCAGAGGCTTGAGCAAAGGAAATCACCTGGGTAGTAAGTATGTTGCTGAAAGAGTGAATGATAGCCCAACTTAAGCTCGCGTCCTGACTAAGTTGCTCACCTCTTGAATGAAGGCATCAGCAGGTTCATGTTGGACGCGTCCCCTCACACCCCGCAATTGCTCCAGGGTCTCCATCTGGCCCTCGCATTCCTTTCGCTGCCGAGCCTCGCCCAGACAGCGCCGGACCAGCACTACAGCGACCTGAAACAGCACGCGCACACCTGAAACGCACAAACAGTCGTAGAAGTTAGAGAAATACTGTAATGCCCACATGCCGCACAATGATGGTTCTTCAAGGACCATGAACACTCAAAAAACCTTTGCATAGTTAAAATGTTCTTTGCATCGCTATATGGTTCTTCAGATTGATGGAAAATGTGCTGTACATGATTCTATATAGAACCTTTTTGAAAAATGTTCTATAGAACCAAAAAGGGTTCTTTTGTTGTGACAATGTCAAGCCTGTAACAATAGAAGAACCTTTTTTGGTTCTGTACAGAACCATCTAAAACAAATTCTCCATCAGTCTGAAGAACGCTTCGATGATGCAAAGAACCCGTTAATCATGCAAAGGGTTCCTTGAGTGTTCATGGTTATATATAGAACTGTTTTCTTTAATAAGCAACCCTTAAATAACCATCTTAACCTCTTTCAGGAACAAGCAGGTTAAGCTCTGGTCTAACTTCACTTGAGTTGGAGCAGAGGGGTGTTTCACAAAGCAGGATTTGTCAGTGAGCCAATTCATTTAGGTCAGTGGTCAAGCTTGTCCAACAGGAGGAAATATAATGTGAAATATTGGACAGTCCACACTTTTGGCACTTTTGGCTTAAAGTTTTTGTATAATTCAGCGATTGAGATGCAAATAAAGTCACAGTAAATTCACAGTGGTTTAATGTGAAATGATTCATAGTAGAAAAAAATACTGACTGATTTCTTTACAGTGGTGGTGATAGGAACCAGGGGTAGCCAAACATTTCATTTACTATCCAAAACAAGAAGCGATCATGAGATTCTATATGTAGTATTGATGATGGTAAAATAGTAGTAAATATTAAAAGCTTTGTTTGGAGACTATTTTGCCTCATAATGCCCTGCGTGTACGTCTCCGCCTTGAATTGTGTTTTGAAAATACATTGTAGGCGAAAACCAATCAAATCTATGGTAAAACAGTATCACAGACATTAGCCAGCCTATGCATAACCAATCCTGCATTGTGAAAACCCCACTCTCAGGATTCATAAAAACTGACCATAGCAGAAGAAAAGGTCCCAGACTCTGAGTAATGTGTTGAAGGGAAGGTGGCGACTATATAGGCACATCAACCAATCAGTAGCAAACATGAGAGGCTCCACCCCCTGACTATGCAGGTGTTTGTATGCAGCAGGACACGTCCTTTTCAAAACACTTGAGAGAACGGCGGCATCAAACAATACTCCTTCCTACGAAGTGAAACGAAAGAAGAGGCAATGTCAAAACAGTGACAGTTTTACCCATGTACTCTAACTTGTAGTAACGCTGCCCTACCAGCAGGGGGCTGTAGTAGCCAGGGAGGTAGAGTTCACTGATCTGCACCAAACACCAGAATGCCTCCTGGAATTGGGATGAATAAGTGTTACTTTTACATTGGTATCTCTGTCAGTCCTCTAGCCCAAGCTGCGAAGGTTAGCTTCTGTGTTAGCGATTTATAAACCCGTCATTTGGTTCCTGTTTCGTTAGCATTAGAGGAAAAATTCAGCCACAAATAAAGTTTACACAATTTTCCACGTACCCATGTAGTTTATCGAGTAATGTTTGATGTCATTTAGTTTTGTTAAAAATTAACAGAGCTAAGTAATTGAAAATTATTACCATACTAAAATGCATTTTGTTACAGTATAGTTCCGCAAAATATCTAGTTTATGTGACTTTGCACTTCCCCAAATCCAGTCGATCAACCAAGATATGTCCAGTGTTCAAGTTTTACTTCTTTAGTTTAGAACTGGAGCTGCCACGCTAATGGTGCTAACAAACACTGAAAGTAAATAGTCACCAAAACCGTTTCCACGAATACCAATACCAAAATCTTCATATACGTGCTCTGAATTATGTTTATTAGCTATAGTAAAACATGGCTTGACACATGTAAGCTAAAATTTGAACTACATCATCATTCGCATAACTTCACACTTTCTAATACCGTTCCGCCTTTAAACTGATTCTGGAGCACAAGGGTGTGTTTAAAACATCATTACGTAGGTATGCAGTGTTAGCACTGTAATAACTAAATCTTTCTTATTATAAGAGTGTGACATATCAAACAATAATAAACTTAGGAAAATGAGTGGTTCCATTTTGCAAAAACACAACAAAGAAGTCGAAGGGTGATCTGCTGTGTTACCCCCAATTTTCTGCCGATGTCACACAACTATCCCAAACTAGCGAGAGACACGTTCAGTAAAGTTACCATGCAAAATCTCTGTGCATGTGTTGATCATATTTCACCTAACAATTTCCAGCAGGTCGAGAGAGATTTTGGGAATGTATTGAGGGAAACAGTTTGGGTGACTATTGACTTCCAGTGTTTGTTAGCAATGTTAGCCTCGTAGTTTCAGTTCTGAACTAAAGAAAGAAAAAAAGTTTGACACCAAACGTTTTGGCTGATCGACTCCATCTGGGGTGTATGGAACATGTATAATACATTTTTTTGCCAAACTCGATCCTAAATCATCTTGGCCTTCTTGCCTTAAACCATAATCCCACTTGCTTATGTGGTTTCTGCCATTATTTCATGCTGTTATCTATGAAAATTATGGACAGAATTTATGCGTAAACATGCTACTACTGTTTTTCCGTGCTAATACTACTGTACTTTTGTCCGTTTTTATAGACAACAGCATGTCATATGGTTTGCAGCAAACTTCAGATCATTATTTATTCAAAACTATTCCTTTAATGTAATTGCATAATCTATGCAGACTATCCACATCAAAAATGTCAAACATGTTTTCTACAGTAGATTGGTACCTCCATGGGCATGTTCATCAGTAGCACGGCTGCGACGGGGCCCTGGGCCTGACAGTAGCCCTCCTCTGGCCGAAACTGAGTGTACGCCTTCAGAACCCGTAACAGGCCCTGCTGACTGCTCAGACAAAACCAGACAGATAAAAACAACAGAAGACATTAGCTTCAGCGCAGCTTGAATGATCGTTTGCTGGTTGATCCCTGAAGTTGTTATAGTAATTTGTTACACACTCAATTTATATTACGTATCTATTTAAATGTAATTACGTGGTTATATAATAAACATAATATACAACTGTATATTGTGTATTGTACCCTTTAGACTGAGGGGTTTCAGAAGCATTAATATCACTGTACTCAAAGACTTCTTAGCACTTTTATGAATGTTGCCAATCCAGTTTAAGTGCTTTCATTAAAGATTTACAGTTGCATGCAAAAGTTTGTGCACCCCTGATCAAACTGCATGTTTTCTAAGTGAAAATAAGTTAACAATCCTACATTTTAATGCTCAGTTTGTTTTTGCTGAATTTAACATCTAAAAATCATAAAATGTGGCCTGTGCAAAAGTCATGGCACAAGTTGTATTTTGTGTTATAATTTTTCTAATATGGAAAAGTAATATGGAGTAAAATTTGCAAAAAAAAAAAAAGCCACATGAAGTGTGTTCTCTGTAGAGGATGCGCCGACTTATTTTCACTTAGAAAATCTTCAAAATGTAATTTAACTGGGTATGTCCAAACTTTTGCATACAACTGTATCAAAATGAAAGTTTAGAATTACACACTGTAAGATTTGAGAAGTCTTTGACTATACAGTGTTTCATGAGTTAAAATAACATGTAAGGACACTTCAGTTCACCCAACCCAAACTTCTTAGCTGAGTCAAAAGTTCTGCCAATTTTTTTAGATAAAAAACTAGAATTTGTCTGTTTTATTCACTAGCTGGGTCTCTTTCCATCAAACAATCCTATCAAACATTTTCTGCTATTGGGCTTCCAGATAGGGGCATCTGTGGCATTGCTGAGCTCCTGATGTTGGGATGAATTATTAGACAGTTGCACCACATGTGATCTCCCTACGTAAAACAACAAATACTTTCTATACAGTATTAAACATTTATGGACACAAAATGTGAGTAACAGGTGTTTTCAAGTGGTACAACAGACTAAGCCATCACCCCAAGAACAAAATGTGAGTTTGAACACCAGAGATGCCATAGCCATCCATAAGTGAGCACCCAAAAGGAGAGAATTACAAACTGCATGATGGAATGAGTTCCAGCTACTGCGGAAAAAAAAAGGTATTTTCCTGACTGAGAAGCAAAACTAAAAAATTACGAGAACTTTTGACTCAACTAATGAACTCTAGAGTGAGTTAACTCAAGAAAAGCTGCGTAATCAGTTACTTTGTAATGTTAAGTTGAGCTGACTTTCATTTTTAACAGTGCGACATGCGTTCATCAACACTGTGACTTTGAAAGGTTTGAAGCATTTTCTATCCACATGGTGTTCATAAAGGCAGAGGAAAGAAAGTGGGAGACAGAGAGGGGATGGTAACGTTACCCATGGCTGTCTTTGTTCAGGAACATCTCGTGGAAGGGAAACTGCCTGTCTGTGTCTCTCTTAATCACATCAATCCAACTCTGCTGACCAGGGGCCGAGTCCAGAGTCTTGCAGAGAGAAGGACATAAGCAAAAACAAGCCAAATGAGAACCTAATTAGACCACTGTAGGCCGCAGAGCTGGTTACAACTTGCTCCATTGCTCACACGCTCACAGACTCACCTTGTAGAGCTCTTGGTTCTTTTCCTTCCTGTGTGTAGCTCCACAGAGTAGTGGCCAGCACTTGGCCCTGACGGATGCTGGAATGCCCTTCTGACACTGTCCTTTGATCTGCAACCAAAAAAGAGAAATGGGCGTTGTGGACATTTGTTTGTTTGCATCACTAAACAGTTACTTGCAAGGAAGGTTCATCTCGTTAATGCATGAAGTCTTTCTTTCTCTTCCTCTCTTGCACTCTCACCTACATACACACACACACACACACACACCTTACTGTTCTTCTTCTCGAGCACCTGATCCCACTGGTTCATAAGGCCGAGCCATTTCATTTCACGGTGTCTCACCAACTGAGGGCAAGGTTCATCACTGCAGACGACACAAGTCAAAATGATTGTCATATTACTGCTCTTCGGTGCTTTTTGCTAGTAATAAAATAAAGCAGTTTTATTAAGTTCCAAGCTAAATATAAGTACAAAGGTTTCAACTAATGTTATCCAAAAGAAAAATGTCTTTAATAAGATCAACTTTTCTTTGTTTCTGGAGAGATAAAGCATAAGTCAGTATTGTTTTAATGAAGGATGACTGACTTCTGAATTCTCTCTCCAGTACTATAAGAGAAAACAGGAGCCTAATATCCTCCTGAGAACAAGAAAAATAAAGAGAATTTCAGTAATTTTAAGTTGAAAAAATAAGGCTATCGGCTGAAAATAAAACATCAATATGATTTTTTGTGTTTTTGTATAGTGTCCTTTATGGTGGACAACAGGATGTTGCAGATTAATTATGTTGAGGTTGTACATTCTGCATCAGACCAAAACCCTGCTGCAACATCAGCATCATAAATGCATATTTGTCAACTTTTCAATCCCATAAAATGTGGTTGCTGAGATGGCAGCCATGTTGAAAAGGCAGAACCCCAACAAATGTTTTTTATCATTGGAAAGGCCAGGATGTCCTCTACATGGCACAACAGGTTTCAGCACTGCAGCTCATATAGTTTTTGAAATATCCTTTGGGGACTCCCCCACAGAGGACAAAAGTGAAATGGGAAAAACACTGACACTGCACAGACTACTGAAACATTTCTGAGATATTTGTAGAAGGGAGCTACAGCCATGGGCAACAGTTTGGGCTCCAAACTTCACCAAATAAGTGAAAATAAGTGAACACATTGTCTACAGAGAACACACTTCTGCATATTTTAGTGCATAGGTGCATTTAGTAAAAAATGTGGCCTGTGCATTTTTTTCCCAATGTGTTCAATTCAGCAAATAAAAAGACATTGAGCTCTAGAATTTGCAGATAAATGCCGTATTTAGGTGTGTCCTCTGTAGAGGGTGTGTTAACTTATTTTCACTTAGAAAATCAATAAAGTGTGTAATTTGACTTTTACAATTGCACATAAGAACATGAGGGGATCTTACATATTTCCTTAGTGAATATCACTAAGCTCAGAAAATAAAGGAGTTAGTCCATCTGCAGAGAAGATATTTTGATGAAGTGTAAAGAGACTTATTTCAAAAACATCAGAAAATGGCTTAGGTCACATTGATTTCAAGTAGGTCTATGAAAAGTAAATGAGATCATATTTCTTATCTTATATTTCTAGTTCTAGATCATGTTCTAGTTCAGAAGTACAACACAAATCAGTTTTACACTTTTTCCCCCACATTTCCTTACTTAGCCAAGACATTTGGAGTTCATAATTAGCTTTTTGAGTTTTGCACTGGAGCTATGAGGCTAATTTAGCTAACAAATACTGGAACTTCTCCAAAGTTTTTATAGCCCTTCTCTTCTTATAGAGCTGGTTTCAGGGACATGGATTAACCCTAGTCTTGGACTAAACTGCAATGTTAACTGCTCACTATTAAAAACCTCATGTAGTCAAGGCTTAGACCCTCTCAGGGTCAGGAAAACGGGTCAAACCTATGTTAGCAGGATCCCAGGGTCTTTTATTTGATTGCTAACATGTCTAGGAGACAGTGTTCCCCAGGCACAGTGTTCCCTCTTTGCGACTTTGGAACCTTATATTCCCAGAGCACTACATTTCGATGGCCCCAAGTTTCAGCCCCAAGCCGCACCAATCATGTTTCCCCTACATTAAAAATCACCCAAACTATGATACTACACTGTTAGAAATAAAGGTTCTGTGCAGGTACATTTTTCGTTCATCAAGGCACTAACAATGTAAATGTGCCCTCAAAGGTACAACAGTGGTTTTAAGGTCCAATTGTGAACCTTAAATATGTTTTTCCAAGTGAAAAGTACATATTTGTATCTTTTCATAACCGAATGTTTTAAAACAGAACAATAAAATGAAAAGGCTGGAGACGAGACGGGGTGTGTGGAGTCAGTACAAGTTGGAAAATATCATTTCAGTGGATTATGGTACAGTTATGTTCCCTGACTAAAGGTACTGAGATGTACTCTTGAGGGAACCATCCCAGTGACAGTTTACTACCTTTATTTCTGAGTATATATTTACAAACATACATATTCTGATACATATTCATAATATCTGTAAATAATTTATGTAAATAGCATTGGAAAATAGAAATCCAAATCATCTGTGTACATTTCAGTGAACAAGAATGAGAATCTATTCAGCCATATGCAGGATTTAAATATTTTTACTCCTGATTTTAATTTAACACAATCTTAATCGCAATATTAACAAAACATTACTAAAGTTGCCATTTGTTCTAATAAATGTTGCATTACGGAGTTACATTTACATTTACAGCATTTAGCAGACGCTCTAATCCAGAGCGACTTACAAAAAGTGCTTTGTTTGCTAGTTTTCTTTGCTAGCTAATTAGCTCACTGAGGCTAACCATAAACTTAGGAACTCTTTCATAGGTTTACTTAATGTATCATAATGAGGGATGAGACCATATAAAGAACTGAGTGAGCATATATCCCTGGGAAATAGCTGCGTTCTCCTGGCCCATAATGTCTCTGCTTATACTCACCCTGCTTAGCAAATTGCATCATGCAAACAAGCAAATGTGATGTCTAAATCATTACACACTCGCCTCAGACCACATCAAGTTCTTAAGTAATCTCAAAGAGACTTGCTTATGTGGTTTCTGGCACTGCATGGCATTGGGCAGTAGGGACAATAATTCAGGCTTCAAGATAGCTGCTGATACTGCTTTTAGCTCATGTTACAGCTCATCAGCCTATTGGCGTCACTAACATAAAGTCACTTTGCTATAAAAGTATGTATCTAGTTTTAGATCACACTCAATTATCCCTGCAAAGTAGTATTTCATGCTGCTCTAAACTGGTTTATGCTGGACTGGTACTGGTTTAGCTGATCACCCAGCTCTGTCTACTGGTTGACCAGTATACCAGCATCCAAAACACAACATATCGTGACTGTCCAAAGAAAAACATGTCCACATTTTTGTTAATTTTCATTTTTCTACATAATTTGAACATGGCAGCTGTTCTCTATATTGTATGCAAATTTCACGATGAATGGACCAATAGAAATGCTCCAAAATCACTTCACAATAAAATCTCTTTACAATAACTTACGTTATAAGTTAAGAAGATTTTTGCCTTCTCCTGTGAAGTTACTATTTTGGAGATAAATGTTTTTCTATGGACAGCATGCCATGCTGGTCTGTGCTGGTTTTTCTAGCAGGGTCTACAACTGTAGGCCTGGATTTTTTTTTCTTTTTTTGTTACTTAATAAGTGTAAAAAAGATACAGTTAGTTTCTTACTGACTTTGTTCCACAGTGCATAGGAGGTGCTGTTTTCAGAGGAAACACTAATACTTCAGTGGAATTTTCAGTGCTCTCCACCCCTGCATGCAACTGTTGATGCAGACGTCTTTCACAATTCCGCGATTACTAGAAACACCAAACACACTGACACAACGTGTCAGTGGGTGTTTTAAGTAGTTGATGTATTTTATCATATGACAGCGCTGAGGTCACTGTCCACTGTCCACACTGCCTATCCAACTGCCGTGCTTCAGATGGAAGTTTCACACACAGCATAAAGCACTAGTGCCACAATAAACACGTACAGAGACGCACACACAAAACAGGAAACCACACTGTGACAGGGTTCAGATTACCATGGTAACGAGGCAGGATGTTGAGAGAGAAAGGAGCTGTAGGTGACGGTTGAGAACAACGCAGTTATTCAACCTGCAGCAGCTTCTCCAAACAGGCTTCAAAATAGCACCTAAGAAAGTGCTTTGTAGTTGAACTTGATTCTAAAGTGTATGGCAGGAATAAACTGCCACATTAATACAGTGATGTCTAGTTACTTACTTTGGGTAATAATTGTGCTGCCAAAGTAATTTAATTTCTAATAAAGTATAATTTATACACATGAAACCAGTGTATACGTTTGAATCGAGTCAAAACCAAATACAAACTGCACATTTTTTCAGTACATGCAACTCTCCTGAACACAAACAGAGCGAGCGCTGAATATCTGTGTTTATAACTCTGACCTGTGACTTTGTGTATCTCCATTGCCCAGCAGGAATCCATAGCGATCAGTTTCGGCCCCTGAAAGCCCCAGGAAGTCAGGGGTACCCTGCTCATCTGCTTTCTGCTCCGAATGACCAGACATCACCTGAGGGAGATCAAAAGAAAGAAGTTCAGTAAACTCACACACTTAAACATGTACCACCGCATTACATCTCAGCCTTACAGCGTATTAGAGTCTGATGACTAATGTGATGAGCAAATGATCGCTTATGTCGACACACCACAAGCCTCAACCGCTCGTCACGCAGGACACATATGCTTTTCCCTCTCCTGTCAGTCTGTATGTGTCCATATAAGTTGAACAGTGATCATGTTTGAGATATAAGAAATGAAAATGAAGACAAAGATGATTTTGTGGAACTTACCTTTGGATGTGCTGTCTGACTGAAAGGTGTAGTTGTGCTACAACGGAAGGGAAGACAGAACTGAGAATGTGACTTCCGCCCTAGGGAAGTGTGAGTGTGGTTGTGTGTGTCTGTGTCTGTGTGTGTGTGTGTGTGTGTGTGTGTGTGTGTGTGTGTATGTGTGATCTTCACTACTTGTCCTAAATCAAACCAGTCCTTTATTGTAATCAGATGCGAAGGAAGGGCAAATAAATTGTATGTTTAAAACACTGTGTGTTATTGTCTGACAGGAAAACAGAAACTCAACAGCATCTAATATTTTACTTAAAGAGAAATTACATTGATTTTAAATAGTTAAGATAAGGTTTGATGTGTAATGCAAGTGTAATTCTAGAGAATCTTACAATGTCAGAATTGTTCACAGTGATGGTGATGGGAACCAAACATCTGAAGTGTTTAATGGCTCTAATAGTTCCCTCACAGAAAGCTGTTACATGAAAAGGTCATCTATACACTGCCTGATGCCTGAGACCTTACTTTATAATAGGTTTGAGAAAAGGTTGTGGCCTGAAATAAGATTTTAAAAGCCAGAAAGTTACATGAAAGGTATTGTAAGGAAAAACAATGCCTAAGGTAAATATTTTTCAAATAATTTTGATTTACCACCATTTTACAGTTATTAACATTACATATTAAAACTCAGAACATTCTTCATTGTTCATAGTAAATAAAATGTTTATATTGTGTTATAGGAATTGTGATCTCTGGTTCCTATCACCACCACTGTAAAGATTGGTGGAATGCCCCTTTAAGAAGTTGCATTGTAATTGGCAGATAAAATAGAGCCCATGTGTCAAACACAAGGCCAAGTCAGGCCCGTGACACAGTTCTATTCGGTCCGCAAAATTATTTTAATTCTCTATTATTATTAGCCCGTTTCACTCTGAGATGCACTACAGTCCCCAGCATGTACTGCAACATAGTGTGTATTCTGACCCCCAACAACAATCTCTGGGCCAGCAGTTGCACAAAAAGAAAAGATGCCTGGTGTCTAGTTCAAGCAAATAGGCAGTTTAAAAAAATACCTAAAACAATTTATTTTTATTTAGAATTATTTTTGAATAAGTATTTAATGCCTATTTTGCTTTTGTAGTTTTGGCACATTTTGAATAAACAATGGCCCGTTCAGGTCATGACAAAATGTTAAGTAAAAAATAAATAAAAACACAGCTGGCCCACCGATTTGCTAAGATTTTTTAATATAGCCCTTTAGTGGTTGAGTTTGACACCACTGAAATAGAGGAAGCCATACTCAACATGATGCATTCATGCTCTGTTTTCATGGCATTTTCATACATTTTTTACAGACACACATTTGTACACCCCTATTCAAAATAGTTTAGCATGCACTGTGAAAAAATAAGCAGCTGGTTGTGGTGTCATTTCAGCTAGAGGGCGCTCCTTAGTCCAAAATAAATAATAGAAAACAACAACAAAACTCACATTTACATGCAGTCTAGCCATGCGCTATCCCAAGTGAAAATGTTATCAGTAATACTTTTTAAAATGAACTAATTTGCTTATTATAAGCATAATTTACAATTTGAATTTATTTATATTTAAGTTACAATTAGTATTGATCAAACAGCTGTAAACAAACCCCTTCACTCTGATTGGTCCTAACTGGGAATTCTGGGTAAGAGGCCACTACAGAACCTGCATTGGTGTAGTCCTCACCAAAGGCCCACTCCATGTGGGCCAGAAATCAAAGGGCTTGTATGTGTGATATCACCAGCTTTATAGAACGGTTGAGTGTCCAGTTGTTAACATAAATCTAATCCTCTTTATAGCCACTGTAATTTCCTAGTAATTCACTATGTAGGATACAATAGGAGCAGATATGGGACACAACCACAATCCCAGGAGTCATTTAGCCAGCCTATCAGTGCTTATTAGCTGCTTAGCAATAAGTCTTACCCAAAAACATCTGCTGTAAAAACTATACTGGTGTAATTTTTAAAATAAAATAAAAAATATAAGTTACTGATAATAAACGTCTACGTTTTTAAAAGTTTATCCCGGCCTATGTAAACTGTTAACCAATCGTAGCGCAGAGCATGAAGCTAACAGCCAATCACAGCGCAGAGGCGGAGTTTGTCGGAAAACGGGTGGGATAAAAACATCTCTAATCCCCAACTTGCTGGTTTCCTGCAGATGATCGTTTGGTGAGTGAACTACGTCATCATTTGTGACAAACGGCTTTTTTTAACAGTTAAATCTAAAGTTTGGGCGCCTTTGGAGACAAAAGGCTTCGTTTTTAACTGTCTACTTCTTAGTTCAGCCGGCGACCTGATAACTGCGTGAAGGCTGTGTGAATGCGGCGTTTAGCGGTCATTATCCTTCCCGCAGTGGCCGCTCAGACTTTCTCAGGCTCTCCTGAGTTTACCGTGTTTTCACAGCGGTTATTCCTGAATATGTGACTCTCTATAAACTAGAGATCCTGGCTGATTTGGGCAAATCACTAAAATGAAAACCTTCTCACTTAAAACAGGTGGTTCTTTAATCAAGAGAATGGTTCTGTTTAGAACCACGAGTTCTATATTTCATGCTTAAATGGTTCTTTACATAGTGAAATGGTTCTTCAGATTAATGAAGAATGTGTTCTATATGGTTCTATATAGGACTTTTTTGAAAATGGCACCAAAAAGGGTTCTTCTATTGTTACAAGATTGACTTCAACAGTAGAGCCCTTTTGGTGCTATACAGAACCATAGACAACACATTCTCCATCAATCAGAGGAGCCATTTCACGATGCAAAGAACCATTTAAGCATGATATGGTTCCATGTAGAACCTATGGTTCTAAACAGAACTATTCCCTTTACTAAAGAACGCTTGCAGAACCATCCTTTTAAAGAGTGTACTATTCTCAGACAAATTAAGAAAACATAAGGAGATTCATGTATCACTACAGGTGATCTAACAGAACCTCTTTTCACAAGAGCCGGTGACAGATTTGAGATTGGGGCCAGAGATTAGCCCAGACACAAATCTGGTTCTGGCAGAGTGTGCGTGTGGCCTATGTGTGTGCTTATTTTTAGCACTTTGTGAGGACCAGATGTCTTCATCGTGGTACAAGAACATGACATATCTGTAGAATTGACATCAGTGTTACTGCAGTGCTGAGAATGACCCACCACCCAAATAGTACCTGCTCTGTGAGGGTCCATGGGGGTCCTGACCACTGAAGAACAGGGTAAAAGGGAGCTAACAAAGTATGCAGAGAAACAGATGGACTACAGTCTGTAATTGTAGAACTACAAAGTGCACCTATATAGTAAGTGGAGCTGATAAAATGGACAATGAGCGTAGAAACAAGGAGGTGGTCATAATGTTATGCCTGATCGGTGTATATATGCTAGCAAACAGGCACTATGGAGATTTCCAGCCCACTAACTATGGAGGTTTTACGTGCAATTCTGATTTAATCTTGCGGAATGAAGTGAATATGACTTAGGTATTTATGTCTTTTGTCTTTCACGCTCTCTCTTTCAGTAGACCTGTCCTGGTGTGATGTCTACAGCACTGCGAATACTCTACTCGTCCCGGCCAGGTGAGCCAGTAAGAGGAAGCAGACTAATAGAAATAGAACTGAAGCTGATGACCTGAAGCATTTTTTCACAGTGACTCTGTCCAGAATGTGACTGGCCTGTAGAATGAACATGGTTTACTTCTTCTCTCTGCTCTTGTCAATAGCAGTGTCTGTCCTTCTCAATGTTGCATTCAGGCACGTTCGCTGCCGGCCCTGTCCTGGTTCGACCTTTCAGTGTCACCGTCCAAAGAGGAGGCTACAGTAAGTCATAAACACACACACACATCAGATCATTCTTCTGTTGTTACAGTGTACATTGATCTCTCTATCCATATATATGTCTGTATATCTGTCTGTATCTCTTTCTCTCTCTCTCTAAAAGAATATGTGAACGCTCAGGAGCTGCCCACGGATATGAAGTCTGTTACTGACCGTGCGGCCCAAACACTGCTGTGGACCGAACTCTTCAGAGGTGCGTGTGTATGTGTGTTTCTGTGTGCTACTAAGCTTGGCTCCTCATGACGTACACAGACAAAGTTAATTGAACTCTATTTGCTGAAGAATAATGAACAATTTTAAACTAGCACAGCTACATGTCCAAAAGTATCCAGACACCCCAGCTAATTAATTAGTGAATTCAGCTACTTTAAAGGGAGTATTTCATGCAAATTAAATTTTCTCTCACTCTTTTAAAATAAAAGACCTCAATGTAGTATGTAAATGTGGGTGTATTGTTCACTCCCCAGTCCAAACAGTCCATATTTAAAAACTATGCTGCAAACACAGCATAAACTCAAAGTTTCTGTGATGTAACAAAAGCCAACACATTTACATATATCCACTTATTCAGCCTACAGCAGTTTGCCCTGCCCGTTGATGTATGTTGATGTTATAAGGAATGTCTTGAAGTGGACTGGTTTTTGAATAAGGTGCAATACAGGGCTGACATCATTTACATACATCACTCTTCTTTTTTACATTTTTGGGGATTTTTTTCAGTTTTCTCTCTAAATTAGTCATATCCAAATCCGCCCACTATTTAGGATTCCCCCAATTGAAGGCAAACACAAGCTTCCTTCAAGTCATGTGGAGCCAGCCACAACACTCAGACTGCAGTGCCGAGAATGATGCACCACCCAAATAGTACCTGCTCTGTGAGGGTCCATGGGGGTCCTGACCACTGAAGAACAGGGTAAAAGGGGGCTAACAAAGTATGCAGAGAAACAGATGGACTATAGTCTGTAATTGTAGAACTACAAAGTGCACCTATATAGTAAGTGGAGCTGATAAAATGGACAATGAGCGTAGAAACAAGGAGGTGGTCATAATGTTATGCCTGATTGGTGTATCTGCATATTCAGCCTACAGCAGATTAGCTCATTAATGCTGAAGTTATGAGGAGTTTTTCAGCCTGGACTGCCCTTTGAATGAGGCGTCATATAGGGCAGCCAATCAGAACAGAGATCATTTATATAAATTAGTCTTAAAGGCACAGTAATAAAAAAATCTATTCTAAGGGATGAACAAAGGTTTTAAAATGGTCTTGTAAAGATGGATTATGGCTGTTTTTTATACATAAAAGCACACAAACGTTACAAGTTGACCTCAGGGACAAAATAAAATATAAGAAAAATGTAGGATATGCACCCTTTAAGGTATGCAAACTACCCAGCTAAGAACTCTCATTTGTGAAATGTAAGTTAAGGCAAGAAAAACGATTACAAAGAAGCGTGGATTTTAGTGACCGTAGAGCAGGAAAGTGAGGCGGAAACACTGATAAATAATCTTTTCATGAAGAAAAGTTTCAGGAATTGTGTCGCTGCTCAGAGAAAAGGAATTCTGTGTTTGTTTCTCTCAAATATTAACATCTTGTGTCTTAGTTTACCAATGTAAAATCAGACCTAAAGTGAGGTCAGGAGTGTTTACAGTGATTTTTGTACATCTGTTCATTCTGAAATTTTATGTATGTATGTGTTTGTGTGTGTAGGGCTGGGTATGACTATGAGTTATCTGTTCCGAGAGCCAGCCACCATAAACTATCCATTCGAGAAAGGGCCTCTGTCCCCTCGTTTCCGTGGAGAACATGCGCTGCGCAGGTACCCGAATGGAGAGGAGCGCTGTATCGCATGCAAACTGTGTGAAGCCATCTGCCCTGCACAGGTATTAGTTTACAAACATTTTATTACAGTGTAATATCACACGCACAATAAATATGTTTTTGTTTTTTTGTGCGTTGTTGCTATGACTCTGTGGCCATATTCCTCTCTGCAAATACAGCTTTCAAAGCCTTAACAAGCTATGGGCCCAAAGTTTTCATTATACACTTCTATAACCTAAGCATAGCTCCATTAGTTTGCATTGAAGTCCCTGTAGTTACTGGATAATAAGCCTTTTAAATTAAACTGGAATGTTAAGGGGCTAAATTGCAAATTCCTTTTTAGCTCTCTTGATAAAACCAAAGTTATTTCCAGCTACCAGCTAAGTCTGAAGTTTCATTTACAAGCAAAACACAGCGCTGAAAACCAAGACGTACCAAGACGTCCCCACAAACTACGACGTAACATCACTATATGAGAGTGAGAGGCTACAATCCTAGAGGAATTGGAACATGCAGTCACTGTTGCTCTCACTGGATGTTGTGATGATAATTAGAAACAGCACTCACTTTATTTTCATATTTACGCGATGTTTCCATGAACCCTGCATTCACACGATGAAAATGATGTAAGTACATTATTGAAGGTAATGAATACATTCTGATGATTCGGTTTAAATGTGTCAAATTTGTCTAGGCAAATGCAATTTATTACAATTCACTACATAAAAGACTGCAATTAATCACAAACACACACACATTTTCTAAACCGCTTATCCTTCTGGGTCACGGGGGGGTGCTGGAGCCTATCCCAGCGGTCATTGGGCGGAAGGCAGGATACACTCTGGACAGGTCACCAGTCCATCACAGGACACACAGACATAAACATTGCAATTATTCACGAATAATTATTTTAATTTTTTGACAACCATAGTATATGTGTGTGCATATGTTTGTGTGTGTGTGTGTGTGTGTGTTTGTGTCTGTGTGTCTGTGTGTCTGTGTGTGTGTGCACGTGCACACTGCAGGCCATCACAATTGAAGCAGAAACCCGTGCTGACGGCAGCAGAAGAACCACTCGCTATGATATCGACATGACCAAATGTATCTACTGTGGATTCTGTCAGGAGGCCTGTCCTGTAGACGCAATAGTGGAGGTACACACACACACACGCACACACATTGTTCTTGAATGTGTTCAGTATTCTCCATTTTAACTCTCTCTCTCTCTTTCTTTTTTTGATCTTTTCTCTCTCTCTCTCCCTCCCTTTCTCTCTCTCAGGGTCCTAATTTTGAGTTCTCTACCGAGACACATGAGGAGTTGCTTTATAATAAGGAGAAGCTGCTGAACAATGGAGATCGCTGGGAGGCTGAGATTGCCGCCAACATCCAGGCTGACTACCTGTACAGATAAACACTACTAGATGCACAGCACAGTGCATAAGCTTGGTCAAACCAAGACACACCTGGTCTCTCATAAAAATTAAGAAAATATGTATAGTGTCTGCTATTTATCATTGTACTTCATATAATACACTCTATGTCCAAAACGCTTGTAGGCACCTGCTCATCTAATGTTTCTTCTGAAATGAAGGGTATTACAGGGAGTCTGTTCTTTGTTGCTGCAGTAACAGCCTCTTCTCCTCTGGGAAGGCTTTACACTAGATGTTGTAACATTGCTTTGAGGATTTGATTGCATTCAGCCACAAGAGCTTTTAGTTACGTTTGCATTAAAAGGCTAAAGTGGCAGAAACTTAATGTGACACAGATCTGATATTTTCAGAGCTGTGTGGACAGGCAAATCTGATCTTCTCAAATCAGATCTGAGCCACTTCCATATGTGGTTCTAGATCGGATACAAATCCAATTTATGTCCATGTGACCTTAACGAAAACTCTCAGATCAGAATTCATGTGTCTTTTTTACTGCACATGCACCGTCATTCAGCATTAATGAGGCAGCAGCACCAAACCTGAACTTAGTGCCGTAAACACTGCAAAAGCAAAATATCTGACCCTTTTTCACTTTTGTCTCGCTCTAGTATTGAGCAGCTGAGAGCTGCTCAGAGTGAATGGTCTTTGTGGTGAAGTCTTGTTCTGCTGGTTAGTTTGTTCACATTAATGACAGATTTGAGTCACTTACCTACCTACTATTAAGCTAGAAAGTTCGGATTTGTGCAGTAAGGCTTGTAATGTGAGTACAGCCTTAGTGAGGTCAGGTGCTGATGTTGGGTGATTAGTTCTGGATCACAACCGCCACTCCAACTCATCCCAAAGTTATTGGATGGAGCTCTTTCACTCCAGAGAACACAGCTTCACAGCTTCACATCTGATGCTGGGGGTTTTATGATTTTCAGTGGAGATTATACAAGCCGTGTGCACCTTTATCGGCGATGGGTGCACATTTAAAGTTGCTGATATCACTAACTAGAAGGGGGGTCTGGATACATTTGGATATATAGTGTATGTACACAGAGGCACTTAAGAGCTGTATCAGTACAGTGAACTGAAACATTATGAATATTCTCAGGATATTGCTAATCACGCACAATTGTACGCAAGTACGCAAAGCAAAAATGTATTTTATATGTGATTTATTAGATTTACATAAATAAAGTTTTTAAAACTTTCATGTGTTGTCTTTTTTCATGGGCAGTATTGAAAGTAATTTGTGTTGGACTGAAAGTACTTCTTCTTTGCTGACAGTACATTTGTGTAGAAATTAACAGGTCATCCTAATACTAAGCATGTATTATTATTTTATTAAAAGTAGTAATATTACAAATTAAGGCATGTATTACTCTTCCTCCCTTTACATGTAGGCATTTATGCAATTTGTAAGACCCTCTAGATAAGAGCATCTTACAAATTAATCATGTTACAGAAGCTGGTGGGTGTAGCGTTAGGTGTCTTGTCCAAGGACTCACGCTGGCATAACAGGGTGTGTGCACTGGCAGGGAATCGAACTCCAGTCTGCCACTGTATAGGGCATTATACAGTTACCCACTATGCATTACCAAAGGTGGGTAATAACTAGTTACTCAAGTAAAATTTGATAGATTTGTACTTTCTAGAGTACTTCCAAAGTTCTTCTACTTTTTACTTAGTTCATTTCATTTTATGCCAACAGTAAAACTTGTTTTTATGCACTAAAACAAGGATAATAGCACCCGACAAACATTAATTCCTCTGCAGATAAATGCTGGATGTACTAAGACATTCTAGTGCATTTCTGTATATCGCTCACTACTTAAGAAAAACTAAACATAATTCAACCTTTGAGATGTAAAAAAAAAGTCATTGTACCTCTCCACAATGAATGGATTTTAAAAAATAAGTTTGAGGCCAATATCCTAAGGCAAAACTATCTTAACACAATGTCACAGACATCAGGTAAAGTATTTCTAAATATTTTGTGCAATAACTTTCGGTGAAGGAGCTTTCAGAGGCATTAAACTCTTCTGACGTCTGGTTCCTATCACCACCAATGTGAACTCTGACTTGGTATGTTTCTCTAGAAATAGTTATGATATACTCAGCCTGATTCCTGAGACATTGTTTTATGATAGTTTTGTGACAAAGTTGTGCCCTAAAACGTCTTTTTAATCCATTTATTTTAATCTATCAATTGCGGAGGGGTACATGCAGGGCGTTGTAAGGCAAACTAGTCCCCAAAGATTTCCCCACAGATCCCTCAGATTTTCCTACATTTTACAATCATCAACATCACATATAAAAACTCAGAGGACCTAAGTAGGTTCACTGGTGCTTTTGGATAGTAAATGAAATGGCTATATTTGTGTTGTAGACATCAGGACCCGTGGTTCCTATCATCACCACTGTAAAGAAATCTGAATCTGTAACTCTCTACAACAAACCATTGCTTATCTGACCACCCTGAATGACTTTGTTTACATCACAATGATGAAATTATGCAAAAATTTTGAAACATTGCTTAAATTTCACTTTAGGAATGTGGTGAAAACTGCAGTAATCTGCCCAAATCATGTCCCTTTCTACCTTACTCTAAAAAAACATTTTCAAAAGGTTCTATAGAGAACCATATACAACACATTCCCCATCAGTCCGAAGAACCATTTTACCATGAAAAGAACTATTTAAGCATGTGCATGTGTATAGAACCACTGTCTTTAATAAAGAAGAACCCTTGGAAGACCCATATTCTGAGAGTGGTACAGCTCTATTTAGGGGGCTTGTTCTGTAACTCGCCACGCGGCGGCGCCACGGATGCGCGCGCGTTTGCCGGGTCACGTGCTTGGGGCGGAAGCGTTAATGCGACCGCGCTGAGAGTCGCGCGCTCGGTGCCATTTGCTCTTTTCTCACCGTGCGGCAGAGCGAAGCACGAGCGCTGAGGTACGAACCCCGGGAGCTGTGTACTTTAACTGGGCTTTAACCCGCATACAGGCCGCCTCAGACTCTTTATTTACGCCTCAGTTTACCGGCTATCCGTCCGTTAGTCTCCGTACCGCGTTATTATGGAGCTGAAGGCCTTTTTAAACGGCGGTGTATGTATGAGTTAGCGCGTTAGCATCGTGTGGCTAAGCTGGTCAACGCGCTGTTAGCGCGACGGCTCACGCATTTCACTGCTCCGCCGGTCTTACCGAGCGTTTCAGTTCGTTAATCTCGCGCTGTGCTGAGTAAAGCGGTCTTTAATGTGGTTTGTATGTGTTTTAGTGCGCTCAGGACTCGGTGAGGCCTAGCGCTTTTTTGTTTTGTTCTCCGGTTCGGGCAGCGCTGTTAGCTGGTTAGCATTAGCGAGCGGAAAAAGATCGGAGCGCTGGACGGATTTTGTTCCAGTCGAAACTAGAAAAGTGCGGCAGCAGCGCGACATGGCGCTCAGCCATCAGCGCAGCGGACACTGGGCCGAGCTGTGACGCCGCAGTTACGAGTTTCTTTTGTATAGTTAACCGATATTGGCGTTGAAATTGAATGACTGGTTTTACGGCCTAACGAGTTGGGACGCGTAGTCGCCGTTTAACAGGCGTTCGGTTGGCGCCTTTATTAGAAGTTGCTAGCTGCATCCCGGCGTGGTGGCTGGTTGATGACGAAGCTCAAATCAGATTCTTATTCGCCAGCTTCTTCGAGTTTTCCCAGTTCCACCTTAAATTGATACAGCTAGATTATATGAATGTAACTGCTGCACCTTTTTAAGGTGAAACTTTAAGATCTGATCGAGAAGCTGGCCAATAGGAGCCTAACTTCTGCCTCGCTAGTTGATGCTGAGCTGGTCAGCCCCATCCGTGCGTTTTTTCAACTGTGTGTGTGTGTGTGTATGGGGGGGGGTGCTCCGGCCTTTTGTCTGTGCTTTCTAACCATCCCGCCATCTCCCCTGCAGAGTCGCGCTGCGGCAGATAAATACATACACATTCAACAATGGCAGAGAACGACCCACAGGTTCAGTTTAAGGTGAGTTGATTCCACAGATGTTTCATAATTTCTGCATGATTAAATGGTTAACATGTCAAGAGTCATTCAGAGTGGCTTGATACAAATTGCTCCTTTCTAGAGAAACTTACCTAGTCAGAGTTGGTCACGGTGGTGGTGATGGGAACCAGATGTCCACCTCCAATAGCCCCATCACAAAGTTATTAGATGAAACGGTCACGAATGTTGTTTTGATCTCTTGGATATTGATTTTGTGGTAGCTGTGTGCGCAAAGGTTTGATCTAAATCTTTTTTTAATGAGTATTTTAATCAGTTAATGTGGGGGGGGATACATGAAGGATGTTATGGCAGAATAGGCCCCAAAGGGAACATTTTTTTTCAGATGGATCATTACTGTTAACATCACTTGTAAAAGCTCAGGTAAGTAGGTTCAGGTTCACTGGTGGTTTTTGTTGGTAAATAAAATGGCTGTGTTTGCCTTGTAGACATTAGACCTCTGGTCCACATCACCACCACTGTGTAAAAAAAAAAAAAAGAAAAGGGTTAAGTTTCTTTGCAAATTATTTCGCATCAGATCGCTTTGAATGACCTTGTTTCTATCTTAACCACTGAATTAGTGAGAAATTTCTCTGAAATTCTCTCCATAACCCTCTTCTTAGTACACCTTTCTAAGAAAAAGGGGAAGATAAATTTGCTTAACTTGTAGATAGATTACAAAGTTTCATTTTGCATTTGCATAGGAGTAGCTGCACAAGCCTGCTTGCTGTGCTCAGCGCTAGGTTTGTATGGCTGTTTACTCTAACGGTCTTTATCCCATCCACAGCTGGTTCTGGTAGGAGATGGTGGCACAGGAAAGACCACCTTTGTGAAGAGACATTTGACAGGAGAATTCGAAAAGAAATATGTCGGTAAGCTTGTGTTTGTGGAATAACAGGTGAAAGCGATTAAATACGGCGAGCTTTTTGTGGAGTGTTATGCTATGCAAACAAATGTGCTCAACCTCATGAGTGCTCATCTGGAATGTGTGGCCTGGGTGTGACTCAGTCACCCCATTACACATCGAGTGAAGTTTGGGTTAAACTAGAATAGCTCTTTAAAGCATGTCAGGACTTTTCAAACCTAGTTAGACAAAAGTTGTGCAGAACTCAAATGAAGCCTGTTTCCCTGCAGCCACTCTCGGAGTCGAAGTACACCCCTTGGTCTTCCACACTAACAGAGGAGCCATCAAATACAATGTATGGGACACAGCCGGACAGGAGAAGTTTGGAGGTCTCAGAGACGGATACTACATCCAAGGTATGTGTCTAAAGTCCCAAAGTTAAAATACCATAGCTTTATTCAACTAAAAGTTAATCTCCTGTTTGATTAATCTGTAGTGTTCAGTTGAAAGCATGACTGGCCAGATCTGCCCATTACACTGGCTTGTTTTCAATGTTTTGTCCCCTTTTCTTTGTCTCTTCAGCTCAGTGTGCGATCATCATGTTTGATGTCACCTCTCGAGTCACTTACAAGAACGTGCCTAACTGGCATCGTGACCTGGTGCGTGTGTGTGAGAACATTCCTATAGTGCTATGCGGCAACAAGGTGGACATCAAGGACAGGAAGGTGAAAGCCAAGAGCATTGTTTTCCATCGCAAGAAGAATCTACAGGTATGGCATATGCCCTATACTTTAGACATTTGTTTTGATACAGTTCAAGTCTTGCAGCGCTGTCAGCCATGGCATACTTGGTTCTGTTTAAGGTCAGATAAGGTTCAGGATGAAACTTGTTTACTCATGTTAATGGTTTATTTCATCTCTGTTTCTTCTCAGTACTACGACATCTCTGCAAAGAGTAATTATAACTTTGAGAAGCCCTTCCTGTGGCTTGCACGGAAGCTGATTGGTGATCCTAACCTGGAATTTGTGGAGATGCCTGCCCTCGCCCCACCCGAAATTGCCATGGACCCATCACTTGCTGCACAGTATGAGCATGACCTGAAAGTAAGGATACTTGTGCACATTAGTGTATCCCAGGCCTTAAGCACTGTTTCTTCCAACAGTGCAGTGAAGTACCTTATTTCTTTAAAGGTTGTATTTAGATGTTATGTTGTATATTGGGGTCTGTATGTGGTTTTTTGTGTGTGCTTGGAATAGATAGCAGTTTTAATGCGTTTATACATGCGTAACTAATTTCATTCTCTATTCCACTCCCAGGTGGCATCAGAAACAGCTCTGCCAGATGAGGATGATGACCTTTAACCTGTTACTCTCTGATCTTTCCGTGTGGTTGCCGGTTTTGCCAGCAACAGTTCGACCCCCCCCATCCCCTTTTACTGTAAAACCCCAGCGCAGATTATTTTTATTTTTCAACTTTTGTTTCGTTTTTGTGTTTTGAATTGAATAAAAAGTGAAGTTGTGTGGTTCTCGGATTTCAACGTAGACTCGCTAACCCTAACGCCACCATGCAGGCTCACTCTAGGACACTTAAACACATGCCTACACAAAGACGTGCATACACATTCAATCACTCAAAGGCGTGAGAGGAGTTTACTGAGTGTCCCAGTGCTTATTCTATCTGTATGGCTCTAAGCACTTAGAGAACAACTTTGAATAAAAACATTCTCAATATAATGTGTCTCTTGCCTTTTTATGTATGTTTTTAAATAGTGGGTCACTTTGCATGAACTGGAAAGCTTTGCATAATTACTTTAAGCAATATTCTGAAAGTAGGACAGACTTGGCCAATGCCCAGCAGAAGAGTAGGTCAAGGAAGTGTCTGTTGTACTATGTTGGGTTATGTAGGTGACTTTCAGGCATTACTTCTTAGTATAGTGCTTTGCAGCTCGTCAGAAGTTGTGTTGTGAATCTTTACCTGGCTGTTTCTACAGTCAGGTATTTCATATTGTGAAAGCCTAAACTAGTCCTGTCGAGAAACTATATTGATTTGTATCATCTTTTAAGTACTTTAAATCAGTGTATTTACCATTTTCTTGCTCAGTGGTGGGTAAGAGATGGGATTAAAATTGGTGCAGTGTTTGACCATCTAGCACTTCATGGCACACGTACCTATTGTAACCTCCAGAAGGGCTTAGATATAGCTTTATAAATTGGATCAGGTGTGATACGTCGCAGCAAAAATGACTTGCATGATTAAAAGTATATATGACTTGAGAACCGAAATGAGAAAGGAGAATGCCCGTAAGTGACGTTATCCTTACGACCACCAGAGGGCGCAAAAATACCACACAATCTCCGATAACATCAAGTAACCTCGGGCCTGCAGCCATCAGTAGGCCTGGGTAAGGCCTGTAGGTAAGACCAACACAAAACAAACCAGCCGTATTGGTTATGACGAGAATGAGTAATAATCCTCAAGACTTTTTTGCAGTAAAGGTTGTGCCTTGTGTGTCTGTCGTATTGGCAGAAAAATTAAAACTTTGTTTCCAAAAAAAAATAATGGAAGATGATGCACATATCACTTAAACAAAATGTACTATTGCAATTTATGTTTCATTCATTATACAGACTGTAGTTCTTTAACATCTTATTGACCAGAGTATATTTTGGTTTGTCCATCTGAATTCACATGACCAAATCGTAAGGTAAGTAATTGCAGTACATTACATTTGTTTCATTTAGTAACTGCATGAAATAAATGTACATTTTTTTTTGTTTATTTATTTTTTGTAAAAGTTCCCCTCGAAATTAACAGAAAATGTGTTTTATGATCATACACATATTGCTATATGCTTACAGGAAAGGTTAAATATTATTTTCTAGATGTAAATGTAAATTATAATGGGCTATATACAGCGAGATTAGAGAATACACTGTGTTTACTATACACACTTTAAAAAGATGGTTCTTTAAGGGTTCTTTAGTAAAAGCAATGGTTCTATTTAGAGCCATTTCATGCTTAAAAGGTTCTCTGCATGGTGAAACTGTTCTTCAGATTCATGGAGAAAGTGTTGTATAAGGTTCTATATAGAACCTTTCTGAAAATGGTTCTATATAGCACCAAAAAGGGTTCATCTATGGTTACAAGCTTGACATAGCAATAGCAGAACCCTTTTTGGTGCTATATAGAACCATATACAACACATTCTACATCAATCTGAAGAACCATTTAAGCATGAAATAGTTCTATATAGAAGTCATGGTTCTAAATAGAACTATTCCCTTTACTAGAGAGCCATCCTTTTTGTAGCATTGTTTAATAATCCTTAATCAAAAGGAATTAAGTTTTACTTTTTTTCATTTTACATACAAGTTAATGTGGCCCTCACCCGCACACACACACGCACACACACACACACACACACATACTTGTGTGCGCCTGTAGTGTGATAGCTGTGCATGGTTCACTGCTGCTTCCTTATCCGCTTAAGGGAGGGGGCGGGGGGCCACGTTAATGAACACCAGCTCTGATGGACCATAGGCTGCTGGAATGGGCTATTCGCATTGATCCCAGATTTAGAGCAAACTGAGACAGGCTGCGCTCCATTCACAGTGTGTGTGAGTCTCAGAGGGAATGAGAGAGAGAGAGAGAGAGAGAGAGAGAGAGAGAGAGAGAGAGAGAGAGAGAGAATGAGGCTGGACGTAAAAGACGTTTCTTAACGTTTGGGAGCCTGAACAACATTATATTTGGGGACCGGCTACACAAATTTATAGGAACAAACTTTAATGAATATTAATGTAGAAATAGTAAAATTTCAAATAAGTATATACAGGAAATGTAAGATATGAAACCTTATATATACAGTACTGTGAAAAAGTCAGACAGCACCATTCATTTATTCAATTTACCATTAAAATGCCATCAAAATTCAATACAAGTTATTGTTTTTTAGCTTAATAAATATATGAAAACATACTATTTCACAGAAATTTACACAGAAGCCTCTGCTAACTAAATATAATTAAATGTTTTCAGTATTTAATGTGTCCACTCTGCCTTCATTACAGCTTGTCTTCTTTTCAGGAGTCTTGCTTTCCGTTTTCAAAGAAATCTGCAGACACACAACCAAAGTTCAGTCTTAGAAGTTGGTTACATTTTCTGTTTCTCATGATCCAAATAATTACAAACACATTCAGTACTATTAAGGTTTGGACTCTGGGATGGCTACTTTACTTGATTGATCACTGTGAGAATGGTGGACAGAAACTCTTGTGGATGTTTTCAGATCTGAAGTAAGAGTGGAGCTTGATTTTCTCCTCTCTCTCAAAGATGAAAGCTTTAAGTGCTGTTTATCTGTAGTGATAGTTTTGGTCTACCAGGGGTTGTGGGTGGTTGTCAGGCGTCCCATTTACTCTGTATCTTTTAAACTCTTTTTTTTTTATCTCCAGTTTTGGAAAGTCATGTTTTTTTCCATGTATTTTCTGTTAAATTCCACCTTTCTTATGCTTATATCTCCTGACAAATCAATAACTTGTACCTAATGCCTATTTTGATTGAACAAATGACTTTCGCACAGTTCTGTATACACATATAATGTACTTATACATATCGCTGCTGTCGGAACAAAACCTTCTATCTCCAAAATGGTAACTTTACAAGAGAAGGAAAAAACACACTTTACTTTCAATGTAAGTCAATGGAACCAGACTTTTTCCAGAGTAATTTTCAAGTAATTTTGGGTGATTTCTTTTGGTCCATTCTTCATAAAATTCACACAGTGTAAAGGTCAACATGCATTTTCAAATCATGTCAAAAACTGAAAAATGGTAAAAATGGAGATACAAGGTTTTGTTCCGACAGCAGTGACATCTATGAGTACATAATAAGTAAATATAATTTACATATAATATGTAGTACATACTTGTGGGGCCCCAACCACAGCAAGATACAGCCCTGCTGGGAAGCTATCAGTTCCCTCTTCCCACACACCAGCTTCACCTGGAACAAAAAAGGTCAGGCAAATTTTCATACCAACTTTGGCCTGCACGTGGTATGAAGAGAAACAGAGAGAGAGAGAGAGAGAGAGAGAGAGAGAGAGAGAGAGAGGGAGAGAGAGAGAGAAAGAGAGGGTCTTGTCAAAAGAATAACTTGAACAGAGGTGCTCTTTGCACTATGCAACACTAGGCAGCCCCCTAGGGCCCCCATGAGCCAAGGGCCCCATGACAATACACATTACATATACGGTATGTGTTGATGTTAAACAACCTATTCCTAAATATATACACTTTAAAAATATATTAATATTTATGTTATCTGCTATTGCGCAATGATTGATGCTCATAGTCAATAATATAATAATAATGTACTATTTCCAGTTGTTATGTGATAACAGAACTGCCTAAAGACACATTGGTATGAAAAAGGCAAATAAGTCATTTACTTTTTTGGGGGAAAATCAAATAAAGTATAGCAGAGAAACTCAGGTACACGATGCCATCATTGATATTAGGAGGAAATACTCAAAAATGAATAAAAGTAATCTCAAAATGTAATTGGATTATGCTAGTTATTAAAGTAATCTCATTATGCATTACTTTACTTATATTTAACTTTATTCTATATAACTCTGTACCAAATTGGTGAACTATATGGACAGATAATGTTGCTTGTTTTAAGCATTTAAAACTTTTACTTGCCAAAATATCATTCTTTGCAGTGTGTGTGTGTAGGGGGGCGGGGAACTTACAGACTCTGATTTCTTTACAGTGAACCTACACACGTCTTCTGAGTTTTTATATGCAGTGACGATGGTGGTAAAATAGTCATAAATCTAAAAAGTAAGGGACTATTTTGCCTTACAGCTCCCTGTGTGCATCCCTCCACCATAAATGGGTTAAGATACATTTTTAAACCAAAACATTATCACAAAACTATCCTACAAGAATGTTTCTAGCATCAGGCAGCTCATATCAACCATTTCATGTAATAACTTCTACAACTCTGACTTGGCAAGTTTCTCCATTTCACACCAAAACCACTCTGGATGATTTTGTTTACATCTCATCAGCCATTTAGTTAGGTAGAATTTTAGCGGAGGACTTTCCCTTTAAGGCAGAGAACACACGGTCACTCAGGTAGGCTTCAACAAGGCGTGTCCAGCCCTTACCATCAAGTGCAGAGGAGTGAGTGAGGGAGGGAGCATGCGTGGACCGAGAGAGAGGTTTGCGTTTTAGAATGATTACAGGCGAGAGAGAGAGCGAGAGAGAGAGAGAGCGAGAGAGAGAGAGAGAGAGAGAGATTAAGCGTACACAACTGTTGTCTTAATCCTCTGAGCGGATAGATTTAGAGGAAAAAACCTAGGGGTTTGAGGCAGAGCAGCCATATTTTATGGCCCGCTGGTGGAGTGAGTGGACTTGGAGCAGCGAGAGGCGAAGCTGAGGAGAGGAGAGGAACTTTGGCAGCTGCTGGCCTTTCGGCTCGCTGCGCTCTCCACACATTTCTCCGTCACATTTCAGCTTAGTTTTTTTTCCGTTATTTATTTGATTCCGGTTTTTGTGCGGTGTTCCACACAGACACAACGATGAAGGACCGATTGGAGCAGCTGAAGGCGGTGAGTGCACTGTGCAGATTCTGTTATGCAAAATTTAACCAGGCTGAAGTTAGTTAGCTTCCTATTCGAGACCTTCTTGTTCGAATTTTCACGTTCCACCTTAAATGGTGCAACAGTTACATTATAACGCCTCAGGCGCCAGAGTGTAGCTGCTGCACCATTTAAGGTGGAGCGAGTAAATTCGAACCAGAAGCTGCTGAACAAGAAATTTGACAGGAAAACTGGTGGTTTTATGAGCTTATTTTCACTCTAGACGCTTTTATCGAATAGAAAGAGGCTAATTTTACGCCACGTAGGTCCCTAGGTCGCCTCAGTGTAATAACATCCTTATTTCAGCCTAAATTGTCCCACTAAAGTATGTGTCAGTTCATGTGTCGTCAGTGAACTCACACCAGCCCTTATCTGTCATTTCAAGGTGGGCCGGCTGACAAAGGTGAATTAATATAACATAATATTGGCTAATAATTGTACATGTAGGAAATATCTGTGGTAATGGAAAATGCTAAGTGGTGAAGGAAGTCAGAGAAGCAGCAGCCTAATAATAAATTTGTCAGTGGTTGTCATGTTGGCCCTTATAAAGAGCGGCCTGAGTAAGCAAGCGGATGATGAGGTCAGCTGACTTGTCCTGGATGGGGAGGGGTAGAAAGAGAGAGAGACAGAAACAGAGAGAGACAGATAAAGATATTTATTTTTGATATAGGCTATATTATTTTAAAATGATAGTGTGAATCTGTTTGCACCGAGATAGGCCTTCAGTTCCTGTCAAACGTTTGGTGATATCTAGCTCTTTTAATAAATGAGAATTTTTATTCTCATTTAGAGGGAAATTCCACCAATATTTCTAAATTTCTCTGTAATTCACTCATTAAGATGTAAAGTCATTCAGAGTGGTTTGATGTGAAATGGTTAATTGTAGAGAAACGTGCAGACTTCTTAACGGTAGTGGTGAGAGCCAGGAGTCACTATGTTTACATCAAATATAGCCATTTTATTTACTATTTAAAACCATCAGAACCTACATGTGCTTTATGAGTTTTTATATGTAAAACTTCATGGTAAAATAGTGGTGCATTTATATATATATATAATTGCCTTACAACACTCTACAGGTGGCCCTCTTCCCTGAATACATTTAATAATACATTTTAGGCCAAATTCTTCCCCCAAAGCTATTATAACACAATGTCTCAGACATCAGGCAGTGTATTCATAACTGTTTTAAAGTGAAATATTCTGTGTGGGAGCTTTAAGAGGCATTAAACACTTTGGATGTCTGGTTCCTATCACCACCACTGAGAACAATTCTGATGTAGTAAGTTTCTCTAGAACAGAGTGTTTCACACCAAACCACTCTGAATGACTTTGCTTACATCTTAAAGAGCGAATTATGCAGATTTTTTTAATCTGTAGGATTCCCCTGTGAGAAACAGAAAATAACTTTTATTCTCAGTTAAGACTTGCCAGCTTTATTTAAGTGACATCACCACACAAATATATAAATAAATATTTGTCGCAATATTGATGACTGTGCTAATATTGACATACTCCAAACATTCTGTCCCCTTGTTTGGGCAATGTGTTGTCTATATTGATATACCATTATAGTGCGTTTCAGTTTTAGTGATATTTTAGCAATACATTGAATAGACAGTGGCCAAACATTGTGGTGTCCATAATCCCAAGTGGATTTATTTTAGTTTTTTAGTTGTTTTGTGCACTTTAATCATGTTTTTGAGGATCTGACAGTTGAATGTCATGTGCAATGTATGTAAGCCCAACAGTCCTGTTTTGAACTGTTTTAAAATCCATAAAAATAAAAAATTGTAGGTTTCCTTTCTGTAAATGTGCTTTCTCTTAGGGGTGATATGGCAAAAATATGGCAGGAGCGCTGAGTACAATGATTTCTGTTCAACATTTCACATACTGTACTATAAATCCAATTAAACAGTACTAAAAATGCTCTATTTATATTGAACTGTGAAGTTAGTCAATGTTCTGTAAGTACTGACGATGTCCGCGAGATGCTCAGAGAGGCATATTGTTTAGCACGATAACATGTATCGCGATTGCGATTAAATATTGTCAGTGTGGCCACACTTTCTGTATGGGTAGAAAACCGCATACACTGGGACAGAATCTTACATAAAAACGTCCACAGTTATGTATTTTAACTGCAACTGGAGCTCCAAGTTCAAACACTAGCGCGCTGATAACAAACTGAAGGCATGAGGGCAATGGCAGACAGCAATGGTTGCTGTGCAGTAAATGGAGGGCTGAGCAAAAGAAGGCAGAGCTTGGTGGTGTGCGTAATAATTTGATTGGCCACAATGCAATGACAGCGCACTGAGAAAGCAAATCAAAATTCAGTCTTTTTAACACAAATTGTCATAATAAACATTCTTTCCTCGTTAGATTGAGCAGGCCTTTGATCAATCTGGGTAGAGGCTGAGGTGGTAGAGGGGCCAAGGGAAGCCTGTGCATTAAATTGCCGCTGGGTGTGTAAGACAGTCTTTTACCAGCAATTGGGAGGCATGGGTCATTCACTTCGATATCATCAGACAATGGGGTATATTTGGAAAATATTGTAATATTGAGTTTGATCCTTATGGCCCGGCCACCCTGATTGTGTTGTGACGTCAGCTCTCATCAGCATGCAAACCTTTCAAGTGTTTAAACCACCTTTGGGCAAATAGAGTCTCAGGATGTTCTTTAGAAAACCTGCTCTACAGAAGAAGGGAGAAACTTTGATGAACATGAAGATAAATCCACACGCACAAAACACCTGTTGGATTAGCACATAGCTGTTTTATGACAAAAGCTCTGCAGGGAGTTTTTATTGTAAACTAAACTAAAAAGCAGTAGTGAAAAAAAGCAAATGAAAGCACAGCATTTCTAAGCTTTTGATGGGCATAACAGTCTTAATTAATGTTTTTAAAAAATGTGTATTAAAATTTAAAACTGACCAATACTTAAAACTCACCAATACGATGATAGATGGCATGTTGTTAACTAACGTTAGTTTGCTAG